GGGGGGGAGAGGACAAAGCAGTGGACTTAAAGTGGCACCCTCTAACTTCCAGCATGCCACCTCTTATGTCCGGAACAGAACACTTTTACACTGTCATCTTCATTTGTCCCCACTGGCGAAAACATTTTTACAGGTCCATTTACTTAAATGTCCAATTCCTCCACTGTCCATCACCTCAGGTGTCACCAAAAGGACACACAATGTTGTACGTGTTAGTTTCTTCAATTGTTACCACCAGAGCGAATATGTCATGCAGTCCATTTCCTCAAATGTCCATATCCAAGCAAACATTTCCTACTGTCCATTGCCTTAACAGTTCCCATCTGAGAAAACATACTCTACTGCCAATTTCCGTAAACACCCTCATCCGAGCAAATGTTTCCTACTGTACATCTCTTTAGGATTCATCAACAGAACAAACAATTTTATATATGTCTATCTCTTCAGTTGTCACCACCCGAGCAAACATTTCCAGCTGTCCATCTTTTTAGTTGTTCATTCCCCATTGTCCATCTTTTTAGTTAGATTATTAAGTTGTTCATTCATCACTGTCCATCTCCTCAGATGTCCCCGCCAAGGAACAAAGTTCTACTCTGGAGACAAGTGCCAGCAGTCTGCGGAACAGCTGTGGCTCTCTCGTGACACCATCATTGCCATCTGTGCGAGCGTGGGCTCGTGCCTTCTACTCCTGCTCCTGGTCGTGTCAGTCTGCCTGCTCCGCGCGCGTGCCTCCAAGCGGAGGCGTACAAAAAAGGACGACAACGCCTCAGAGTGAGTCCTTGTTAAAACACGCTTACCATCAGCATAGAGGTATATGTTGTGAGGCATCGTGGTGAAATCAGGCGCTCGTTAAAATAATGGAAATCGAAGAAAATGTCATTATCCCACCGGTTAGGCAATTTTTGTGTGTGTGTGGGGGGGGGGGGACGCGGGGTGGCTTTTACGTCCATTGAAAAACACAATTCTGTCTTGATCATACTAAAATAAGCTTTGATTAAAGACACAAAAAGTACGTTTTCAGTTTCAAATGGTCCTCAAACTATGGAAGTCACCAAACTTTGTTGGCTATTTTTCTTTCTAAGTTTACCTCTGAAACCAGGCGACTCCTATCTCTTTCAATCGTAAATATCTCAACTTCTATTCAGTTCAGATAGGTTATTTATTTCATCAAAATCAGGACAAATGAAAGAGCTTTCCTATTATACCAATAACTCTACATGTCCAAAGACTGAGGTACGCCTTATTAAACCACGTCGTGTCACATATTATAATATCTATGACTGTGCACTCTGACATTATTCCAGTTCACTTTGGAGCACACCATTTGACTCTATTTGGAAACAATTATAGGGCGGGGGGGGGGGGGGGAGCTTGACAAAGTTCTATCTGACATTTCTTTTACCGTTTTAAGTTACTAAAACCATGAGATCAAAACATCAAATATTTTATCAGCTCTATCAAACTCGTACGTTTAAATAGGGTTGTTCTCGAGATATTCAAAGAATTGTACGAGAAAATACTTGGTATGATGTGAAACTCAAAATTTTCTCAAAATTTGGTACTGAGCTGATAGAACTTTGTGATTCTGAGGTAGCGATTTGCCAATAGTGAGACTGGTATTTTGCCTGATATTTGTGCGTCTATGGTGCGCACCAGCGTAGAGAGGTTTTATGGAGAGCAAAGAGCTCAGCCATGACAGTTAGAGGAGATATTATAAGTCAAATCTATGATCACCACATACACGAAATTTCACCATGTCGTAATGAATACTTTCTCTCTTGTTTGTAGACAACATTTTATAGCAACATATCACGTCGGTAGTTTCGAAACAGAGCTATACGCACTTATCTGCATGTTCACTTCTTTGCTGCATGTTATACGATAGCTGGGGAATAGAGTTAAAAAAGCTTATCTGAACACACGTTTTGCTGCAACATGTCGCTGTAATAACTTTGACGAAACATTTACGATGAGAATGACAGGCAGTGATAAATGCTGATAAATACAGTTTTAAAAATGTAGACACCGATCCATATAGATACTGATAGATGCATGAAACTTCAAACAAGTGCAAGGGAGATTCAGATAGATATACGTAGGATTAGACCCGTGGAGAGAAGCAAACAGGCATATAGACGCATTCACAGAAGATAGATAGCCATGTAGAGATGAAGAAAGAAACAGAGAAAGGAAAAATGAGAATTAAATGTTTGTTACAAAATTTAGCAAAGACATTATTGCACTGAACCAAGGTACAGTTTCTGCTTAGAGAATTGTAAAGCGTTTCAGCCTATTTCACAATCACCATATTATTATAACTACCTACGCCCCCTTTCCCATTTCCCATAAACTACATCTTCCCCTTCCCTTCTCTTACAACCCCTCCCTTCCCTTTTCATACTGTTCTCGACCCACTAAACACTCCTTCCCGACAACTTCCCCTATCTCCCCTACTCCTCATCCCTTTCGTCTTTTCTTCCCCATAATATGTCCCTTTCCCCCACTTCTTGCTTTGGAAACAA